AAGTAGAACGGGTTGAGTCTTGAGTCAAGTCCCAAGTAGAACGGGTTGAGTCTTGAGTCAAGTCCCAAGTAGAACGGGGTGAATCTTGAGTCAAGTCCCAAGTAGAACGGGTTGAGTCTTGAGTCAAGTCCCAAGTAGAACGGATTGAGTCTTGAGTCAAGTCCCAAGTAGAACGGGTTGAGTCTTGAGTCAAGTCCCAAGTAGAACGGGTTGAGTCTTGAGTCAAGTCCCAAGTAGAACAGGTTGAGTCTTGAGTCAAGTCCCAAGTAGAACGGGTTGAGTCTTGAGTCAAGTCCCAAGTAGAACGGGGTGAATCTTGAGTCAAGTCCCAAGTAGAACGGGTTGAGTCTTGAGTCAAGTCCCAAGTAGAACGGGTTGAGTCTTGAGTCAAGTCCCAAGTAGAACGGGTTGAGTCTTGAGTCAAGTCCAAATCATGCATAATAAGAGCAAGAGGAGTAGAGTCAAGGTTTTTCAAGTCACGTCTCTGTACATGCAATGACTTGTGTCTGTACATGCAATGACTTGTGTCTGTACATGCAATGGCTTGTGTCTGTACATGCAATGGCTTGTGTCGGTACATGCAAAGCTTGTGTCTGTACATGCAATGGCTTGTGTCTGTACATGCAATGGCTTGTGTCTGTACATGCAATGACTTGTGTCTGTACATGCAATGACTTGTGTCTGTACATGCAATGACTTGTGTCTGTACATGCAATGACTTGTGTCTGTACATGCAATGACTTGTGTCTGTACATGCAATGGCTTGTGTCTGTACATGCAATGGCTTGTGTCTGTACATGCAATGGCTTGTGTCTGTACATGCAATGACTTGTGTCTGTACATGCAATGACTTGTGTCTGTACATGCAATGACTTGTGTCTGTACATGCAATGACTTGTGTCTGTACATGCAATGACTTGTTCAACAACAAATCTTTGTCTATTTATTGAGGCTAACAGACGGTCCTTTTCATCATTTAGTCTACAACACATAATTATGCAATAATTTTTTTGAACAACGAATTCCAAAATGCAAGCTTCATAACTAAATTATCAATTTCAAGCAATTTGTACATACCAAAGACCAGTAGGCATATGCTAATAATTGCTGGTTGTTGCCCCATTGCTGGTGAGCTTGCAAAGTAAACAGTTCATATTATTTTGGAGATGCATACGCGCACACAATCGCTGCGCAAATGTAGCCTTTCATTACAGCCATGAATGGTGATGCATTTTCAGAACGCAAGATACAGAAATAAACTGAGTTTTACACCTGCATTTTGAGCTGAACGTTATTCCTATTAGCAGTCAATATCAACTAGGGATATCGTGTCACTTCTCTAGAGTCCTGAGCAAGCATGATCGATCATTTTTTCCTCACAAAAATCGTAATAAATTCGCCAGAATATGTTAGTGACCAACTCGAATAGGCAAAGGTAGAAATATAAGTTACAAATGGTAGGCTATACCTATGTACCCTATTAAAATATGTATGAAAAAAAACATATTTTTCCCATTCAGTTTCACACTCGCGACCCCCCAAAAAGTATCGTCACGGACTCCTACTGAGAACCACTAGCTCACCCGACCTGTGTTGATTGACCGTTTGCTGGTCCAATCAGAGGGTCGAGTGTGCCTTTCACTAGTCAATCTTTTGCACGTTTTTTGCAAACGACTGTCTCTGGCTGCATGGAGATTAATGCACGGAGATTCGGTGCCACAAAATAAGTGACAAACCCTTACAAAACCTGACCAGATTATTTCAAGTCATCAGTCTCAAGTCAAAATCGAGTCGTGAGGCTTCAAGTCCAAGTCAAGTCTCAAGTTATTTTATTTTCTATCAAGTCCAGTCTCAAGTCATCAAATTTGTGACTGGAGTCATTGTCGAGGTCAAGTCATATGACTGGAGTCCACACCGCTGCTAGTCAGCTTTTTAATAAATAAGAGCACCTGTGCACTGAGAACTATTGTTGTGGTCTTTTTGGGAGATGCCAACACTTTTTCTATAAAAAATATATTTGTGTTTGTCTGTAGTGAATCGGGTGGATGTTTTGCTCCCACCAGAGCCTGAGACAAGAGATGAATTCTTACAATGTACCTTTCTTTATCCTAAAGTAGTTAACATTTTCTCTCTACTAATACTCCCCTAAAACCCTAAGTAGAGACATTTGAGACTGATCTGATTTGAGACTCGGCCCTACTCTTCCAGATTCCTGTCGCCTTTGGACCCAAGCACAGCACAAATGAACCTCTCTCTGTCTGAAGATGACAGAAAGGCGATGGCTACATCAGAAAAGCAGCCATATCCTGAGCATCTAGAGAGATTTAATTATAGCTGGCAGGTGCTGTGTAGAGAGGCTCTGTGTGGAAGTTGTTATTGGGAGGATTTGGTGATAATGATCAATCCTGGAGTTTAGATTGCATTACTCAGGGTTACTGGTTCAGGCACAATAATGTAAAGATTGTAGCGTTAGCCCCACAGTCCTCCAGAGTTGGGGTATACCTGGACTACAAGCAGGGGCGGTGTGTTCAATAGGGCGATATGGGCGACCAGTGGCGGCTCCTGAAAAAATTCTCAGGGGGGGCAATTTTTCTGATGATTTAGGTGACCTACACACATTTTTAAAAAGATATGTCCAGCAACAACATGAAGACAGGGGCAGCATTTAAGTCAATACCAGAAGCATTTATTGACTGATCTCAAAAGTGTTGGCTTACAAAAGCAAAATAAGTTATCACAGTAAAAATAATCAAGGGTGTTCTTTCACATTCCTCAACACTGCATAAACAATATGTATGGCTTTGTAAAAATGAACAACCATATTCTGGCCAATTGTATAGATTTGTAAATATGAACAACCATATTCTGGCCAATTGTATAGATTTGTAAAAATGAACATGAACAGATTTTTTATTTTTTTGAATGGCAGTACCTTTCAAACATGTCTGCTTGCAGTAAGGTAGCACTCACAAGGTGGCCAGAGAAAGAGAACCTTTCTTTGGTGTGATCCAGGATGGTGTTGCAGACCTCTTAAGACAGCCTCTGCTTCTCCTCTTCTCTCAAAGCTGTTCTGGGTCTTTTGGCTCCTGTTGCTTCTTGCAGCTGCTGTTGAGAGGAGTCCCTGAAGGCAAACAGACCAATGTGTTTGTTGGCTTTGTACAGTATTGTTGTCTATGTGATGCACAGGTATATGCAATGTATCCATGTATAGTACAAATACTTCAGTTCCACTTAAAATGGGCAGGGATGCATAAAGTTTTTAGTGTTTAAGTTAGCCTTTGTGTCTCACATAGCCTGGATGTTCAGCATAGTATACAGTGGTGCTCATAAGCGTATGATCCCATGCTAAAGTTGACTAAAAAGAGGAATAAAAAAGAAAAGAAAATTGGTGTCCTTAAAGGTTGGATTTTCCCACTTTTTTAATTAAGTCATTAAGATCAATTTCCAAAAGATGATTTTTTTAATTTTTTTATTCCTCTTTTTAGTCAGCTTTAGAATGTGTTCATACACGTATGAGCACCACTGTACAGTACACATAGTATATAAAATAAGATAGATTACACCACTGGCCATATATAATGAGAATAATGTAATTTCAAACACAAATGCAGTCTCCTTTCATGCATACATTTTCAAATAAAGCTCTGCTTTGAGAAAGATCGAATGATATTGTTTAATCTTTATCTTACCTTATGGCCTGCACACTGCTTGCGAAGCTGTCGAGGGCACGTTTGATAAAGACAGCCTCGATGTCCTTCTTCTGTAGCTTCTGGTACGGTGGGCTGGTCAAATGAACCCAATGAACCCGTCCGGATGGCTTCAAAACATTCTATGAGGTCGTCTCGATTCTCGTAGACAGTGTTCACGACTCTGCTGTTGCTAACCTCATCGTTGTGGCGGCGGACAGCTAGCCTGTATCCCTCATCCAGTTGAGTGGCAATATTCACTCTCTCCAAAGCAGACAATCTCAAACAGCTATTAATGTGGGTCTTTGACAGCTCATTTTTCTTAATCTTTTCTGAAAGATGTTGCATGTCGGTTACACCAGTCGCTGTCCAAGCGGTGCTGTCTGCCGTGCCGCCTTCAGGGTGAAAGAGTAGTTTCTTAGTTACGTTCATGGTTACGTTACGTTACGTATGACGAAAGCGTGTAAGTGCAAGCCCTCAGAAACCCACAGAGATTGTATTGAAAGCTCTGAAATCTAAAAAAAAATTTTTTTACATTAGAGGCTATGAGAGACTTCTGGGCGATTTTCAACCTGACTGAAATCGCCCCAAAACGGGCGGGGACATTTGAAGCACGACTTTAGCCTGATTGGACATTTAGTGGCTGGCAGATCAGACGTCTAGATTAGAACACTGAACTACTGTTGCCGTGATATAATTGATTAGAAAAAAAATCCCTTCCTTTTCCCGTTTGGCAGTGCGTCGCCCATATCGCCCTATTGAACACACCGCCCCTGTATGTGTTTATAACTGCACTTAACTTAACACTTAACTCAATTAAGTCATTATGAGTGTATGACAGTATGAAAAAAAAATGTATGCACTCACTAACTGTAAGTCACTCTGGATAAGAGCTTCTGCTAAATGACTAAAATGTCAAATGTAAATGACTTGAGTGTATGCATTATAGATATAGGCTTCATAGAAAGTGTTACAAATGTTCTCCTGTCATCTTATAGGAGATCCATTCATGGATTTAGTTATGGCTTGAGAATGTGACTGGTCTACAGAGTTTTCTCCTTTATGTCTGTCTTTATATATATATATGGCACCCTTTTTTATATGTGACAACAACTTTTCTGTATTATGTGTATTTCCACAATCAATAATAATAAACGGTACTTCACTATGAATACTTTTGACTATGTGGTTTGAAGTACTTTACCGTTATCGTGCACAAACATTAAGACTGTTATAGACAGAAATCAATGCAGTAATGTTTTATTAAATAAAGGCTCTGATTAAAATATAATATTAATGAAATCAGGCATTTAGCTAATTCTTCTTCCCAGAAGCTCCTCTGGATGGTTTGGAGATGGCTCTGGAGAGAGCGTGTAACACCCTGACTATGAGTGGGCGTTTACGGGACTGGGACTCCTGGGGAGCAGGGGCCGGTGTGGTTGTCAGGTCCTCCTTGGGAGGGGAAGTGGATGGAACCTCTGGAACCTCACACTCAGCATCTGTCATAAGAACATTTCATAATCAGAAAATGAATGTGTGTGTTTGTGTCTGTCCGTCTGTCTACCTGTCTGTCTGCCTGCCTGTCCGTCTGCATGTCTGTCTGTCTGCCTGTCCGTCTGTCTGTCTGCCTGTCCATCTGCCTGCCTGTCTGTCCATCTGCCTGTCTGTCTGTCTGCATGTCTGTCCGTCCGTCTGCCTGTATCTGTTGTCACTGTTTTAACAAGCTTGTCATAGGGTGATATATCAATATAACATCGATGCTTATCACTTACCCTGTGAAATATGAGTCTCTCTGAGACGTTTGGTAGGCAGCCAATCCAGTTCAGGGTGTCTCTTCGGTTCCCCTTTTGTCTTGAACAGCTGTTGACAAAACACATCAGGACAACTGAGCCTGTGTAAAATACAGAGTGTGCATCCCAAAAGGCACCCTATTCGCTATGTAAGGCACTACTTTTGACAAGGGCCCATAGAGCGCTGGTCAAAAGTAGTGCACTATATAGGGAATAGGGTGCCATTGCACGCATGACTGTAAGTCGCTTTGGATAAAAGCGTCTGCTAAATGGCATATTATTATTATTATTATTTGGGACATAGCCATTGACTCTCTCCCATGTGTATTAGGATTGTATTACAGCGTCCTCACTCAACCTCCTCAAGACAATGACAACAGTATTGTTCTAATGCTGAGAGACAATAGGTGTGTAGTGAATCTGTAGGGTAAATTTCAGCCCTGCCTTACAGAGGTAATCTCAAAACACAGAGCACCCTACCTTAATCATGATCTTTGGAAACGTATGCATTTTCGGTAGGAAATGCCACTTGTTCTTCTTAGTCTCTTCCCCTCTGGCAGAGGGAAGGCGGGCCATGCCGTCAGCCTTTACATCAGCCGGGCTAAGGCTCCTGGCAGGGAATTCCTCAGTAGCATTAAGGTCAGCTACAACACCATGAATGATGTCACTTGCGGCATTGCTGGTGTCTGAGTGAGAAGAGCACGCTAGTGTGACCGACCTGTGTACAATAACTGGGAGAAGAGGACGCAGCCATTGAAGTCAGTCACTGCGTCCCAAATGGCATTCTCTTCACTTTATAGTGCACTACTTTTGACCAGGGCCCATAGGGTCTGGTCAAAAGTAGTGCACTAAATATGGAATAAGGTGCCATTCTGGACACAACCAGTGAATTTTACATCATAAAACGCAATGTATTGAGCATCATGTTACAATTAAGTCCTGTGCAGATGAAAATAGATACTTTCACTTACCATCCTCCATTGCAGACTTGGACCCATAAGTCAGGCTGTCCATCACCACGTCTGTCATCAACTTGATGACCTGATCCAAAACCATTTCAGCCGAGGGTGGCATAGGCCTTCCCATACACTGCCCCAGGAGTCTCCTAACAGAAGTCTGGGCAAAGTTGTAAATGAGCTCTGAGGCATCGTCCTTTGACAGCTTCCTCAGGGCTGGCTTAGGCAGCGCTGGTTGAGAGAGGCTTCTGTGGCCAGCCATGGATTGAAGCTGGCGGCTTATGGTTATCTCCAGAATGAGACCGTGGACCTTTGCGATCAGGTTGTCAGACGCACCTTGAAGGGCTTCAACTGACAGGAGCCTATCCAGATTTTCTTCTGCTGAAGTCATCTCTGGGTCGTCCGTCTTCAATGTGTCCATTATAGTTTTCACTATGATATTGGTGTCAGATATGTTTATTTCTTGTTGGCTCACAAGTGTTGACCGTGAACCTGTCTTGTCCATTGCGATAGAGGTATGGGATTCTGTCCTTGTGATCTCATCGGCAGCGCTCATGTCAGGCAACTGGTCAAGGCTCTCCAGTAAAGAGTCTAACATGTTAGTGGCTATCAGACACTCCTGCCCAACAGATGAACTCTCAGAGTTGGCCACTCTACACTTGATCTCATTTAGGATCAAGCTGAGCATCTTCTTTGCAGTTTTGCTAAACCCTTCTTGGCTGACTGCCACTGTTACGTCTTTTAGAGCCACAAGAGGTTTGCAACTTTCACTCAATCCACTGCCGTGGAGAGGAGAGGCTCTCTTCAAACTGTTGTTGCTCACAACTGACATACTCCTGGTGGGCAGAGTGACATCCTCACTGCATGTGTCAATTACATGGTGGTCTGTTGAAGAGCCACTTGAAGACACAAGGGCTTTAGACCTTTTAGCCAAACAGACTTTTGACAAAGGCTTCTCACTTCTCACAGACGGATGGCGGCTCCTGTCCTCAACAAGAGCAGTGTCAGGGGACTTAATGCGTCTGAGTTTCTCCACAGGGGTGCAGTCCAGCACATCTTTGGCTGTGGTGACTGACACTGGTGGAAAAGAGAAAAAGATGTTCAGTCTATCCTTTACTCTGTGGTACATGGTTTGAGCAGCATCCAATAAGTTGTCAAAGACAACTCTGGGTTTGAGCTGGGACTCCAGCTTTTTCTCTCCTAGTGGGAAGGAGTCTGCGTCGTCCACAGTGTACTGGGATACACTTTCAAGGTCTTGCATGATAATATTTACTATATCTTCGGCTGTAGAAACCACATGGTGTGAGAAGGTGGTGCTAGGCATGCCCTGTAGCAAAGAATGGTTGGCTTTGCTAGCAGCTCTGAGAATGGTCTCACTCACAATGTGTTTGGCCTTAGCTCGGAACTCAGTACTGTAAAAGCTCTGGATGGAAATGTTAGAGGTTCTGCTGGCTGCACTAAGAGATCGCATGAGTGTGGCAATCTCGGCTGACGTCACATCACTCAAAATGGTGAGGTCCTCCAATTTCGAAATTATCGAGTCCAACTTCTGGTTGAAGTCGAAGGATGAATTTGTCTTGCTCTCCCCAACGGAAGCGGAGCAGTCTTCCTTTGAAGTGTCCACCCTCAGCACCGAGATCACCTGTTTGATTACACCTTTAGTGCAGGTGTCGAGGGTGAGCTGGTGGGCTGAGGACTTAGAAGGGGTCTTACTGTCTGTCTTCTGTACAGGAGATTCCTCCACAGTGGCCTCAGTTACAGGAGATACCTCCACAGTGGCCTCAGTTACAAGTAGTCCAGTTGCAGAGAGCTCGATTTGCAAAGGAATATATTTTCCCACAGTGAGATGGTTGGAGGTGAACAGCTTCCTTAGTTTGTCCAGGGTTTTGGTGTAAATCTTCTGGGAACCTGAACTCACTTCCACCCAGAATATTTTGCGACCTGGTTTCGTACGCTTGGAGGCCTTATTGGCCTCATATACCTCATGCAGGTCGGAAATAATTCCACCAAAGAGATCAGAGGATGCCTCCTCAATATTCTCTGAGGAAACATGGACAGATAGGATTTCCGACAGTTTCCCACAAGTGTCGGTTTTATCCAGCGCAGCAGTATATGTCACAGCTGACCTGCAAAAAGAGGAGGGGATAGAGCTAGGTATCTGTGAGAGGCGTGGATAGGGGTAGGTACCTGTGAGAGGAGGGGATAGGGGTAGGTACCTGTGAGAGGAGGGGATAGGGCTAGGTACCTGTGAGAGGAGGGGATAGGGCTAGGTACCTGTGAGAGGAGGGGAAAGGCGTGGGAGTGCGTGTGCTGCAGGCGGTTCTGGCGCTGGTGCACTTGCTGGGTCCTCCACTACAGCTGAATCTGACGCTGCGGCCAAGAGAGGTCACCTCTCCTGCCTCATTACTTCCTGATCCAGAAGAGCTTGGCGAATCAGAGAGCTCTATCTGCATGGTGAGGTCAAGGGCGGGAACAACCACAGTGGATGTAGACTCCATCACCCATGCTACAATATCAATGCACTTGGCACTAAACTCATGTCTGCTCATCTGCAATGTTAAAAGACCATACAGAGTTAGTTTGTTAAAGGGGCTGCACTGATATAAAACTTAGAACCATTTACTCAAACTTGTCAATTAAAGCAGTGGTTCAGGATTAAAGGTCCTGCAGGATTTCCACAAATGAATATTTGGTCCATTTTACCAACATTAACTACTTTAGAGGTGACTATAACTCACCCCGACACGCATATTCTCACTCAGCAGATTCCAATGGCTGAAAAGTAAATAAATGCAAGTACACAATGAATTATATTACCTCTATTATCTTAGACTACGTTATGGATGGACATTACCTCTATTATCTTAGATTACGTTATGGATGGACATTACCTCTATTATCTTAGATTACGTTATGGATGGACATTACCTCTATTATCTTAGATTACGTTATGGATGGAAATTACCTCTATTATCTTAGATTACGTTATGGATGGACATTACCTCTATTATCTTAGATTACGTTATGGATGGAAATTACCTCTATTATCTTAGATTACGTTATGGATGGACCTCTATGGAACTAGGCCACACCCAGACATCCCTGATTGGTTATTTGGTCCGTTGAGTCCTTTGTATTTGCCCGAGACTATAGGAGACTCTCAATCTCCTCACCTCCTTCTCAAAACCATTGGATGAGAAGGTCAGAAGGGCGGGACCTCTGGCTTTCTCATCCAATGGGTTTTGAGGAGGCGAGAAGAGAGGACACGAGGAGTATGCAATTGAGACAGGGAACATATCTAGGGGATGCATGGGGAAGCCAAAGAGCAACTTACTCGTCCTTCATGTCCTGCACAAAGGTGTGTAGGTCTGGGTAGCTTCTCTTTCCCCTGCTGAGGGTGAGGCTGGTCTGGGAGGTTGCCACTCAATTGTGGGTTCCGTATGGAGGTCACCACTGCAGCCTGATGGCTACAACAGAAACCAGAGTTAGGCTTGGGAATTCAATTTTGGCGTCATTAAACACAAAATATCTAAATGAAATGTCATACATGTAAGAAAAATACAGTCTACCTCCTGTGACTGAGATGGATGGCAACAGCCTCGTCCATCTCCTCTCTCGCTCCTTCGACCTCCTGCGACTGGATGGGGATGCAACGCCTCGTCCATCTCAATCTCTCCTTCACCTCCTGCGACTGAGATGGGATGCACAGCCTCGTCAATCTCACTCTACCTTCACCTCCTGCGACGGAATGGGATGGCAACAGCCTCGTCACTCAATCGCTCCTTCACCTCCTGCGACTGAGATTGGGATGGCAACAGCCTCGTCCAACTCCTCTCTCCTTCAACCTCCTGCGACTGAGATGGATGGCACAGCCCGTCCAACTCACTCTCTCCTTCCACCTCCTGCGACTGAGATGGGATGGCAACAGCCTCGTCCAACTCACTCTCTCCTTCAACCTCCTGCGACTGAGATGGGATGGCAACAGCCTCGTCCAACTCACTCTCTCCTTCAACCTCCTGTGACTGAGTTGGGGTATCTGTCTCTAGAACAGCCTCGTCCAACTTGGTCAGTCTCTCAGCCTCTCTGTGATCTTTATGGGATCTAGATAGAGAAAAAGGAATCTCTCTTAGGTCACTGCTATAATGTGAGTGTGAGGATGTGTTCCCATTATAGAATTAGAATCATAGAATTAGAATGAATCATTCTAGAATTAGAATAGATATATAGAATAGGCTCCAATACTCTTGAGATGACTCGGCCTATCCAGAGCCAAATATTTAGAGAATTCTGCCAACTTTTAAAAGGACTCCATGTTAGCGCCTTGGAGCCTTTCATTTATCCTTTCATTATAAGTACATTCTAATTATAGATGTTCAGTTACATAGCATTGTTTAAAATGTCAATATTGCCCATGGGGAGCCAGCTGTCATATGGATATCTACTGTGTCATGTAATGTTTACATAAACTCAGCAAAAAAAGAAACGTCCCTTTTTCAGGATCTTTCAAAGATAATTCCTAAAAATCCAAATAACTTCACAGATCTTCATTGTAAAGGGTTTAAACACTGTTTCCCATGCTAGTCCCCTGTAGCTCAGTTGGTAGAGCAAGGCGCTTGCAACGCCAGGGTTGTGGGTTCGTTTCCCACGGGGGGCCAGTATGAAAATGTATGCACTCACTAACTGTAAGTCGCTCTGGATAAGAGCGTCTGCTAAATGACTAAAATGTAAAATGTTGTTCAATGAACCATAAACAATTGATGAACATGCACCTGTGGAACGGTCATTAAGACACAAACAGCTTACAGACGGTAGTTATGAAAACTTAGGACACTAAAGAGTCCTTTCTACTGACTCTGAAAAACACCAAAAGAAAGATGCCCAGGGTCTGCCACTGCGAAGATGCCCGTACGTGGTCTGCCACCGTCATGTCTCCCTGTAGCGCTGTCTTAGGCGTCTCACAGTACGGACATTGCAATTTATTGCCCTGGCCACATCTGCAGTCCTCATGCCTCCTTGCAGCATGCCTAAGGCATGTTCACGCAGATGAGGCCAGGGCAATAAATTGCAATGTCCGTACTGTGAGATGCCTAAGACAGCGCTACAGGGAGACAGGACGGACAGCTGATCGTCCTCGCAGTGGCAGACCACGTGTAACAACACCTGCACAGGATCGGCACATCCGAACATCAAACCTGCGGGACAGGTACAGGATGGCAACAACAACTGCCTGAGTTACACCAGGAATGCACAATCCCTCCATCAGTGCTCAGACTGTCCGCAATGGGCTGAGAGAGGCTGGACTGAGGGGTTGTAGGCCTGTTGTAAGGCAAGTCCTCACCAGACATCACTGGCAACAACGTCGCCTATGGGCACAAACCCACCGTCGCTGGACCAGACAGGACTGGCAAAAAGTGCTCTTCACTGATGAGTCGCGGTTTTGTCTCACCAGGGGTGATGGTCGGATTCGCGTTTATCGTCAAAGGAATGAGCGTTACACCGAGGCCTGTACTCTGGAGCGGGATCGATTTGGAGGTGGAGGGTCCATCATGGTCTGGGGCGGTGTGTCACAGCATCATCGGACTGAGCTTGTTGTCATTGCAGGAAATCTCAACGCTGTGCGTTACAGGGAAGACATCCTCCTCCCTCATGTGGTACCCTTCCTGCAGGCTCATCTTGACATGACCCTCCAGCATGACAATGCCACCAGCCATACTGCTCGTTCTGTGCATGATTTCCTGCAAGACAGGAATGTCAGTGTTCTGCCATGGTCAGCGAAGAGCCTGTATCTGTTGGATTGGAGGGTGAGGGCTAGGGCCATTCCCCCCAGAAATGTCTGGGAACTTGCAGGTGCCTTGGTGGAAGAGTGGGGTAACATCTCACAGCAAGAACTGGCAAATCTGGTGCAGTCCATGAGGAGTAGATGCACTGCAGTACTTATTGCAGCTGGTGGCCACACCAGATACTGTTACTTTTGATTTTGACCCCCCCTTTGTTCTGTTAGTCACATGTCTGTGGAACTTGTTCAGTTTATGTCTCAGTTGTTGAATCTTGTTATGTTCATACAAATATTTACACGTTAAGTTTGCTGAAAATAAACGCAGTTGACAGTGAGAGGACGTTTCTTTTTTTGTTGCTGAGTTTATATCTCAATGTCCCAACTCTATAAATACATAGCTCTGGGCCTACCTCTCCATAGGCGGTGACCTTTGACCTACTACTGAATCTGTAGGCCTATGTGATCCTGTAACCAGTCACAAATGTGTCATTAGTGTAAATCACTTACCTGACTTCCTTCATAACATCAGCACCATTGATGGGGTCATCCAGGTCTATGAGGGTGAGGTCATTCCCACTGACCTCCGACCTCTGAAAGACAGCACAAAGTCATGTTTAGATGCCACCTACTGTGTCGCCTTTTGCCGTGTTCAAAACAACTGGGAAATCTCTGACTTCCGACTTCAGTGCGTTCAAGACAACTGGGAAATCGGGAAAAAAAACAAGCTCCGACTGGGAAAAATCTTTTTGAACAGTCATCCAACTCGGAATTCCAAGTCGGAAGCAGCGCGGCTTGGCGGGTCATGTTTTGGAGGACGCCTGACTCGACCTTCGCCTCTCCCGAGCCCGCTGGGGAGTTGCAGCGATGAGACAAGATCGTAACAAGATCGTAACTACCAATTGGATATCACGAAAAATTGGGGAGGAAAAGGGGGTAAAATTACCACCACAAAATGTAAAAAGGAATTCCAAGTCGGAAACTCTGGCATCTTTCTAGAGCTCCGACTTTCCGACCTGAAGATCACAGACGTCATGATTTGACCTAGTTTTTTTTCTTCGAGTTCCCGGTTGCCTTGAGAGCACCATTAACCCAACTCTCATTGTCACATCATAATGCATCATATTCATAGAAATAGAATCACCAGAACATCATATCAGGTGTACAGTTCAGTTTACCAGTCAAATTGCCATGGTCAGAGGCTCTATCCTTTCTAGTGATCACATCATAATGCATCATATCTATGCTTGTGTCCGAAATAGCACCCTATTTCCAATATAGTGCACTTATTTTGGCTGGAGCCCTATAGAGTCCCACAGTATGAGTCATAATACCCATAAAACCTAGTGGTCAAACAGGGAAATGGTTCCAATCGTTTTAATAATAATAATAATAATAATAATAATATGCCATTTAGCAGACGCTTTTATCCAAAGCCACTTACAGTCATGCGTGCATACATTTTTACGTATGGGTGGTCCCGGGGATCGAACCCACTACCCTGGCATTACAAGCGCCATGCTCTACCAATTGAGTTTTTCCACCATTCATTTTTCCCATTGGGGATTTTAGAAACACTTAAAATAAGGTCTGTGTTTCGTGTAGGCTTACCCTGGTGTGACGTTTTGATAACCGTGTAAATCTCTCTAGGACAAGGTGACTTATCAATATATTCTCTTGTATTTACCTCCCAAAAATGTAATGCTTATTAGCTGCTAATGTGGCTATCATAAAGAACTACAAATGCCATGATGATCATGCTGATCGAGGCAAAGGTAAGAATCTCTGGATTAACTATCTAATGTTAGCTAAATGTAGTATATGAATAAATTGGCTGCATTTCTTTAAATTGACAATTCTGTGAACTGTATGTGCAAGTTTTAAATTGACACAATACCTGTTAGCAAAGGTGTCAGCTAGAGATGACATGCAGGAGCTTGCAGGGATTTGTAGTTTTGCATGATGTCTACTTTGATGCTAATTAGCATTTTCGAATCTGAGAGTAAATGGAGCCGAATATACTGATAAAAGTCACCTTGTCCGAGAGAGATTTACATGGTTACAAAAACGTCACGCCAGGGTAAGCCTACACGAAATACAGCCCTTATTTTATGTGTTTCTAAAATCGCCTATGGGAAAAATGAATGGTGGAAAAACGATTGGAACCATTTCCCTGTTTGACCGCTAGGTTTTATGGGTATTATGACACCTCCACTGTGGGACTCTATAGAGGGGTTGGTTGTTTAGCAACAAAACTGGCATGCAACTATGGGGCAAAATAGACAGGGTTTGCTTAGACTGTTGACAACATGTAAACTATATTTAGTCTCTAAATGTTTATTGCAACCATAAATACATTTGAACAATGAACTCGTCTCAAATACATTGTTACAGTTGTTGTTGGTTAGCTAGGTAGCGAATTTTAGCCATTGCATAGACATGATATCAGTCAAAACACCTCAAAACAAGACATGGTATCAATAACACCATACAATGAGCTGAAACATGCCACAGAGCTACGATTCCCCACATGGCAGCTTGTTGTTAGCTGAGGTTCAGAATCATAACAAGATACACGACTTCCGGCCATCGATGCGCGAGCATCATTTTCGTGACGTCAGCCAACCCTTCTATGGCTCTTGGTCAAAAGTAGTGCACTAGCCTACATAGGGAATAGGGTGCCATTTAGGACGTATTTATGAAGGTGATGCCATAACCTTTGACCCACAGCAGATTCTACTGTACCTTTAGCCAACTCTCATGACTCCCTGGCCATAGGCTTTCTAGTTTGATATTACAGCATGAATAGCACATTATTTCATTTGTTAAACAATATTTAATCCACAGTAATTACTATAATTGAAGATTTTAAAAAATAAATAACATGCCTACCTTGCACTCTTTATTCTCCATCTCCTTGCAAAATCAGCACATTTCCTTGCCAAAATGAACGCATTCCTCCAGCACTAGCGAGGATCAGACTGAACCGCTCCAGCGGTTTCTGATCCGTTTCGACGTTTATCAGTGATGACGTAACAATGCTGTAAAGATTTGACGCACTTCCGATGTCGTGCTGATGCAACGCTCTGTGCTGTTGAAAGCTCACGTATGGAAATCCTGCGAGTTGGAAACAAATGTAGGCTATTGTTGCCCTTAAAACTGTAATGTTGAGGACGCCATGAAAAATAAAATACATAACCCACACCGTTAGGCCAAAGTAAATGCAATTTTCATCACTTTGCCAATAGACTTCTTGTTCCTCGTTGTAGCCTTTCTTTTGGGATTAGCACCACTGTCCAGGGACGGCCTGTTCAATAGGGCGATATGGGCGACGCACTGCCAAACGGGAAAAGGAAGGGATTTTTTTTCTAATCAATTATATCACGGCAACAGTACTTATCAGTGTTGTAATCTATACGTCTGATCTGCCACAGTGCCACACTGCCACTAAATGTCGAATCAGGCTAAAGTCGTGCTTCAAATGGCTCCACCCCCTTTTGGGGCGATTTCAGTCAGATTGAAAATCGCCCAGAACTTCTGTCATAGACTCCCATGTAAAATCTATTTTTTTCAAATTTCAGAGCCTTCAATACAATCTCAATGGGTGTCTGTGGGCTTGCACTTACGCGCTTTCGTCACATGAACGTAACTAAGAAAAGAGAGGGTAGCAGCGTCAATCAATTCACTACTACTATCAACATGGCTAGGCTTCAGTGCAACTCGGTTGTGTCTTTGAAAGAATTTCCTTTTTGTCGGCGAACAAATGAAGATAAATTGGCAACGAAACAATTAGGACCTCCCAGACCAAATTTAATAATTCAACAGGTTTCTACTAAAGGCGGAAAGTCCTACACCCGAGGATTTTCCAAAAATTGGTACGAACGAAAAAAGACATTGCCACTCACTCAACTGGATGACGAGGGATACAGGCTAGCTGTCCGCCGCCACAACGATGAGGTTAGTGTTGATAATCACAAGTTTACTGGATGTGGATATGGTGTAATAAAGGCAGTTTATTCAGAGGTAAATATATCTGGAATCGCGTTCACGGACCCGTTCGTCAAACTCTTAAAAATGAACTTGGGCTGGGAATTGCCAGGAACCTCACGATAAGATATATGCATCAGCATTGCGAGTCTCATGATTCTATACGTATTGCGATTCGATACTGTGATTTTATTGCGCACCATATGTCTGTTGCAGAGGGATCAGAAAGCCATGAGAACGAGTTTTGATCAGTCATGGAAATAAAAGTGCTGAAAACAAATTGGCTCCCAATGTGAAAAGATTGAGAACAAGCTATGAAGGAACAATAATGGTGTTTTGGTGCAGGTACAGCCAACTAGCGCTAAAATATTGCGATATTGTCAATACAGTATATCGTAAAGTATCACTATGTAACTCGATTTCTTTCACCCCAATCCCTCAAATTAACGGTAAATAACTGAATTGTTTGCCCCACATTTAGCTAAGATGATTAGCTAGCCAGCTAAAATGTTTTAGTTAGTTAGCAGTCGCATCTACAATAGTTTACTGTCAATAACATGTCTCCAAAAATGACGTGGTGTCTCCAATTGTGTTGACATTTTACAATTGCAATGCGCATCCATGAGTATCCACTTTCTGTAGCTCAGCTGGTAGAGCATGGTGCTTGTAACGCCAAGGTAGTGGGTTCGATCCCCGGGACCACCCATACACAAAAATGTATGCACGCATGACTGTAAGTCGCTTTGGATAAAAGCGTCTGCTAAATGGCATATTATTATTATTATTATTATTATTATCTGAAGAGAGCCCCGAAACATTGTGTGCAGACATTTTATGCAATAAATGAAGTAGGTTCAATCTAGTAGTTCTGATCTTCTGATTGGTCCTGATGAGTTGGGCGAGGTCACCTCCAGGCTACTGTCACTGTTGCATTGGCTCTGAGTCGGGTTCTCTGTCTTCAAATGTTCAGCCTAAGAGAGGGGATTTTTGTGTGTGTGTGTGTGTTTAACAGTGATGATGTGTGTGTGTGTGTGTGTTTAACAGTGATGATGTGTGTGTGTGTGTGTTTGTGTGTGTCCTCAGAGCAAGAACTCGTGAGTTGGAAGAACTGAGAGGCCTATGGCGTGGGTGTTGTCCTTGGCCACCTGCTGACAAGGCTGACAAGATAGGACCCTTTTGTCCATTGTTATTGGATAGGAACAGAACTTATAACCAGCTCCTGACCTAAATAGATCTTAGCACAACATTTTACTCAACATATCATATTCCATATTCACTATAACAAATATATTTACTACGACATTAGCAAGAACCGCCACATCCTCAGCCGGCTAATCCAGTGTGTGAAGTTTTGCGGAGTGTTTGAGTTAGCTTTGCGAGGCAAAGATGAAACTGAGGGCTCCACCAACCCTGGTAAGCCAACACTTTTGAGATCAGTCAATAAATGCTTCTGGTATTGACTTATATGCTGCCCCTGTCTTCATGTTGTTGCTGGACATATCTTTTTTTAAATGTGTGTAGGTCACCTAAATCATCAGAAAAATTGCCCCTCCTGAGAATTTTTTCAGGAGCCGCCACTGCCACTGTCACTGCCTGACACCTAGAAATTGATACTGCGGTTGTCACATAAAACAGATAACCCATAGTTCATTATTAAATAACATAACTCATTTCTTTATTTTATTACTCATAAAATATACAGTAATCGGCTATTTAAGATTTCGGCTGTTCTGTTATAATCTCCACCCGGCACAGCCAGAAGAGGACTGGCCACCCCTCATAGCCTGGTTCCTCTCTAGGTTTCTTCCTAGGTTTTCGCCTTTCTAGGGAGTTTTTCCTAGCCACCGTGCTTCTACACCTGCATTACTAGCTGTTTGGGGTTTTTAGGCTGGGTTTTTGTACAGCACTTCGAGATATTAGCTGATGTAAGAAGGGCTATATAAAATAAAATTGATGATTGATTGATTGATTATATCAAGTCATAGATTCATCATCATAATGTGATTCGAAACAAAATCTGATACCTTTCTTATAATTTTTGTCATTAATCATTTGATAAGATGGAAAAATTGAATGCTTTCATTATGGTAAACAATCATATTCATTATTATCTGCTGTACATCAGATAAGATTAGCTAGCTATTAAATGAAGTATTTTAAGAGTACTGGGATGCCGGACCAAAGGGTTGTCACTAGTTAGCCTACCACAGCCACAAAGCCAAAATAGGCTATATAGTCAAATTTCATGAATTTAGATGTGAGGTTGTCATTTGGGGGGCCAATTTAAGTTTAGGGTTAGGCATAAGGTCTTAATTTAAGTTTAGGGTTAGGCATAAGGTTAGCAGTGAGGTTAAGCTTAGGGTTAAGGTTAGGGATAGGTTTAAAATCTGATTTTAAGAAGCTAGGGTAACATGGGGGAAGACAACCCCCAATATCAATGTCTAATAGCTGACACAAAAAATCAAAGTTTGGAGAAACATTTTTTAGGTGGATGATGGCCATGCTTAGGGTAGCAAACTATAAAGGAAAATAAATGGCTACAGTTGAAATGTTAAAATGTATTTTTTAGGAAAGGGGCATTTTGCCCAGCTAATAGTAGATGATGCCATGGGGTTTAACAGAATGGTCCCTATTTTATATCTCACCTGCACATACATGATCTTTCTTCTTTTACCTTTACCTTACACTCCATTATGTACAGTTAAACTAAACTCCTTATAATTTGAATAAGGCACGATTTTAAATCCCTGCAGTCTTTAAAATGAAATTCAAGAGCAAACGGTTTTCAGTAGTTTGTAATGTATCTTTTTTTTCTTTTTTTTTTCTTTCTTTTTTACAAATTCATTGGAATATAACTGATTCAATATTGATTAAACACACACACATTAAACATTTCATAACAATAATTTAACACAATGGTATTTTCCCAGATTTTTTCAATGAAATAGAGGTTGCAAAATAATCCCACCCCAGTTAAATTTGAGCATAGCTCGTGAGCCCAACTCTGACACTGTATCCAGTCGCCACCGGTAACAGAGAAGAGCTCATTTAGGGTGTTTGTTATGGTTTTGGAACCTGGAACAACTTTTTTCAGTGGCGCCACAGCTTTTTTCCTGTGTCACTGGTTTCTTTCCCCTTTTGCTTTCTTCCTTCTTTCTTGTTATTTTTTTTGCCTTATCCTCCAGGAACCTCTTGTGGGGTGAGGCTGTCAGGACTGTAGCCGACTCAGCCTTTATTTTCCTAGGCCTCACCTCCTGTATCCTTGGCCTGGGGGAAAACTGCAATATGACATCTGCCTCTGTTTGATGTTGTAGAACTGGTACTTTAAACAAAAGCAAGCAAACAACAACAACAACAACAACTCATGAGTATTGGTTCAATAAACATTTGTTTCTAATCACTCTACATGCTACTTTTTATATGTTAGGGTTGGACCTCATCAGACCCTTCACGAAATCCAGGAATGGCAACAGCTGGTGTCTGACGGCGAACTATTATTTTACCAAGTGGGTGGAGGCAATACCCATTAAGGTCTGTAAAGGAAGAGAACGTGCTTAACTCTAAATTCCCTTCTGTAACCCATTTAAAAAGGGTGCTTGGAACCAAAAATGGATTTTATTTTGTATGATACCCATCAAGGACAAGACTGGCGAGGCCACTTCCAAGGCGATGATGGACATCTTCAACACCCACGTTTCTCCTGAGGTCATCTTGAGTGACCAAGGTCGTGAACTCTGGAACAAGGTACGGATGTTATAGGTTATATTCTGTCACCAATGGTTTGTTTTAGTTTTTTTTACAATTAGTTTTTGTTTTTCCATGGTACATAATCAGACATTTCAATATCTTCCATTGTCAATAGATATCCCTTTCCTACCCCCTCCTCCAGGTTTGGATGAACGGACCAACCACACCCTCAAGACTGCCATGGGCAAGTCCCTTGACGGATTCCAGGAATGGTAGGAGGACAACCTGAAGGTCATTCTCTTTGCACACAACAGCAGCGTCCAGGCCTCCAGAGTACTCACCCTATCGCCTGCTGTATGGACGGGAGCTGCAGCTGTTGACTGAGGTAAACAACGCAATTGTATATACAATTATTGGATATACTGTAGTATTTCAAATTTGTGATTGACTTAGTGTTGTTTGTCTATTGCAAATTTTTTATAACATATTTTCAGATCACTGAAACTCCACCTGATGTGGTGGAAGTTGTCGAACCAGATCAAAACACCTTAAAGGGACAGCTTTAGGCACAGCCTGAGAAGGATGTGGAGGTTTTTGACCAGGTAAAAATGATTGTCCGCTGTTAATTTATTTTCTGGCCCTCCAAGAGATAGGTAAGTGATGTATTTGTAATAATATGAAATATAAATTGCATTTATTTATGTTATCAATCAAGGTGAGATTGAACATGGACAAGCACAGGAGAACAGAAGGAGAGCTACCAGAGGAGAATCAAGGAGGGGACCAAGAGCTTCAACATCCGGGCGAATGACTTGGTTTGGAAGAACGACGAAAGGAAGGCGAGACCTGGGAAACCTTGCTGCTCTTGAGCTCCTAGCTGGGGTCACCATCCGTTAAGGTCAATATAAACATCTCAGATGATAACTGTTTGCATTTTCCTCCTCGCTGTAGGCGGCATCGCCATGTCAGCAGTACCAACACTGGCTGTCTCCTCGTGGTGGGCGACATCGCCATGCTGTCACCATCAACATTGTTCTGTTCTTACGTAAGAACGCAACTGCACTGCAATGAATAGCCTGAAACAATGCGATTCTCCTGAATAATAAAGTGTTTATCTGTTAAGCTGTTTGGTCTATGGATAGACCCATACCGATTCTATCTTTTTGGTCTTTTGCTATAGCCATAGTTTACCACTAATATTCTAAATTGCAGAGCATTTAATAAAACAAACATATTTTCCTGTGATAGTGACACTTGCTTTGCATTTAAAAGTGAATGTTTTCATAAGCCTATAGGTCTACCAAGAAACCATGTTGAGGCTGAGCAAGACCTTCGATAGGCTAGTAGACTATGCGGAAGTAATCGTGGAGTTAATCATTGTTATAGCCTAGATCGCTTTACATAATCTGGACCGTTGTTTTTTCTAAGGCTAAGCAAACAAGGGATAATGTATGCTTTTTACCTGTCTCTATAACAAGGGTTAGGCCTATATCCTCACATAGCCCCTCAATCCGAGCCCTACTTTTAACCATAAGACATCTCCACAGAAATGTATAGCCTATGCATTGCATGGTGACAGTGATTGTGTCTGTTAAACTGGGAACTCTGGGGAAAAAACGAGGTCAAATCATGACATTAGTGATTTTCAGGTCAGAGAAAGAGGCCCGAGTTTCTGAATTGGAATTCAGAGTTGGATGAGCTAATTTTTTTCAGAGTTCCCAGTTGTCTTGAACGCACTGAAGTCGGAAGTCAGAGATTGCCGAGTTCTGAGTTGTTTTGAATGCGCCAATAGAGACCTAGGCTACCTCTTATTTCTGAATAGGGCTACCTCGAACAAAGAAGCCCTTGTGTCTGTATTGATGTGAGAAATAGGCATATCTACACAGTAATGGTGGCTGGCTGCGATATCAACTAGCCTAATCATTTTTGTATTGAGGTGATATGCCTATTTTAGCTAAATCAACAAATGAAATTGATTAGATTTACTCTGGCAATGTACATTATTTTTACAAAATCATGTACATGTAGACGTTTGTAAGGCATTCATGGTGAGATTTTTAATAATAAACTAAACAGACACTTTAACACTGAAGCATAGCACATGTAGACGTTTTTAAGGCGTTCATGGTAAAATCGTTCATAATAAATTTACAAGCAAACTGACACGTGACGTGTACGTGTCACGTCACGTGAAAGCGTCGGCAGTTTGAGGCCTTGTCTCCATTGACTGTCCATTTGAATTCATCTCGGTATTTTATGGCGCTACGAAGACGTTAGGTGGATTTGTGAGAGGTATAAGTAGCTTCACGATGCTTAATTATGTCCATTATCACTCACCATACTACTCATTATTATTTGTAGATCAGTCAGTCAGTCACAATTTACCAATGATACATTACGGATTTGATCCTCTCGAACAAGGCCAAATTATAGAAATAAGGGTTTTAGACATAATTATGGTCTTATTCCCTGCTCAGATGTTGCATGCATCAATCATCGACTTAGAGTCATCGACTATAACATTTATATAACATATGGTGCTTTCAAGACGCACCAAAGTTATTGCAAACTCGAAAAAAAACGTGGTTAAATTATGAAGTCAGTGATCGGAGTTTCCTAGTTCCGACTAGCACTTGAACGTGGCATAAGATCTGGCATGCGTGACGAATGGACCAAAGAGAAATTGACAAACCCTAAATTAGCAGCACACAGGGAGCAAGGACCAAAATGTTACCCAGTCAATATACAGTAGTTTAAACTACACATGATAGAATGACAAAAAACATGCAACGTATCAAACGTTCAATCGAACTGAACGCACCCAAGATGGGGCAGGTGCCACACCCCTGCAGCCCCGCCCTGATGGCACCTGGGGTTAATTTAAAACCTGTCCTTGCAGTAATGGCGAATTTACTGCGTGGCAGCAGCCAAATGTATAATGTCAACAAGCGTCGAAACCGCATTTCAAGGTCCGTTTATGGAGCCCAGGTCTGTGTGTGTGTATATATATATATATATATATGTGTTTTTTTTGGTCATTCATCATGTGTATTTTAAATCGACTCTACATTGAAGATGATTAGGCTATTTTCAATATGTGCATGGCCGAAAATCCCATCACCTTGAAGTGGCCGACCACCGCTAGATAATGTTTTTTGTTTTATCTGTCACTAATTACATCAATATGACGTAATTGGTTCTGACAAATTCTATAGTCTACCCTCAAGTTATGGTAAGTAGTATAATTGAACAAAAACTATTATTCACTTATATTGAGCAACATTTTGCTCCATGTGTACTGCTATTTTAGGGGTTGGTCAATGCCTCTTTGGTCTGGCGTTCCAGCGCTGCCTCTAGGCTTCAGGTCCAGACCACCTTCTTATTCAAGTAGCCCTGAACCTTGGCTTCTCCCAGGATGTAGCTCTGTGTATGACAGTCTGGTCAGGTACGTTTATTTTGCTGAGTGAACACGACAGTCAAACTAAAATTACCCAGAGAAGCTGATTTAGGGCCAAATATGTCTGCTTTACTTTGAGTATATTTGTATTTATTATGCCCCCCATATTTAGAGTATATTGTCCGGCAGGAAACGAATGGTGGTGGAAGGCGGCACGCTAACCCCAATTAACTTTTATGCCTTTCGTTAACCTTAACCTCACTAAAACTATACTAAACCTAACTCTTGTTCCTAAACCTAACCTTAATTATTCCTAATATTAAATGTTTGTTCAGCCAGTCAAAAGTCCACTTAATCAATGGTTACTTACTGTCTCCCTTTTTTTCTAGTAATGCAGCCCCAGCCATGCCTCCCTCTCCCATGAATGGAGGAAGAGGACCTGCCACTGCTATGCAAAAGCTACGCAGGTACTATTCATGACTGGTATTCCAGATCCTTCCTTGGACTTCTGCTCTAATAAGGGTTGTATTCATTAGTGCACACTAGCAAAGGAAAACAAACTAGTTTCTTATTGGAGTCCCTTTCCAAGTTCATGTAGTCCCTTTCCATTTAGGTCTGTTTCCTGATTTTTACCTTGACTACTCTAACCTGAACTTTTGTCTGGTTGCTTTTCCTATCAGGTCCTCTATCCTTGAGCGATGTATCCTTAGGATGTCTACTGCCAGTGTTGCTGTTGGAACAGAGGACATGGATGGTATCAGGAGGTAGGAACCCACTCATTTATTTTCTTGTCAGCCTATAGAGCACAATTAAGGACTCCTATATGAAGGGCCTCAGTACCTCAATCAGTTGACTTGAACCATTTACCTTTCTACATTACATTGCTCTTTTGAAATGTATAACATGTTCTCTCTCTAGATGGGAAATTCCATGCACTATTATTTCAAGCAATGTTAGTAGAAATCCTGATGGCTTGTTTTCCTAGGTCCCAGTCAGGGATGCGGTTGGCCCCACGGAACCTGGATCCAGCTCACATGGAAGGCAATGAATCGGTTCTGAAACGACGGCAGAAACAGGTTCAGTACGGCAAGAACACCTCTGGCTACCAGAATTACCTGGAACAAGTTCCCAAGTATGACAACTGATTTATTCTACATTACATTTTTATTTTTGCAATTGGAAAAGGGCAAGGTAACTAGGTTCTAAAGGGTAACTAATGGCCTGTGAAGAGCCCTAAACACATTTACTGAACTATTTATTGGATTAGTCCTTAAACTCAAAAGATGGCTATAAATGTAAGTCTCCGTGAGGAGTAGGTGGAACATTTATTCACGCTTGTCTCCACTCTATCTGATACAAGGCGTCTGAGAATCCCTGGGCTGCACCCATCCACTCCAAACAAATATAGAAAATACAGCCGCCGATCCTGGGACATGCAGGTTCGTCTTTGGCGGAGAGCTCTGCATGCATGGGACCCTCTGTCTGAAGCGCAGGGAGAAGCTGAGGGACAAGACCCTGTTGACCAACTGTAGGTATTGGGTGTTTTTACATTTGTAGTAGTTTTTGCTTGTCTTAAGTTGACCTCATCAATTCTTGACTATATGCAGGCAGGGGTTGCTTGAGCAGATGAATTGTGAGCTATATGAAGACTGTGGCGCTAAAGAGCGGGCCAGAGGGATGCCATCAGACTCTAAAGCCCCCTTCTCCACTAAACCTGCAGGAATGTCAATCAACAGTCCCTGGATGTTTCCCCATGGATCCCAGGTGTGTCAGTTTTTTACTGTTCTTTGGTTAGCAGGCGTTGTCTTGTGTTTGGAGATATCTGTTCATGTGGTTTGCCTCTCTTTAGGTGGATGTGTCTGGTCCTCAGTTCCCATCCTCCCAGACAGGCTTGGGGTACGCCTTTAGCAGTCATCTAACAGCTGATGAGAATGTGGTGGGATGGCTGAGATTTCTCCTGGAAACTGACCACTCCCACGATCAACAGGGAGACCGGCTACCGTGGAAGCCATACTGATCATGGCTGTCAGTCCCAGCGGTAGATCTTTTGGGTATATCCTAATAGACTTGCAGGGTTGCACTGGGTGTTGTGCTGACTGTGAAAGGGATGATTGCTGTAAAATATTGACCACACACTTCTTGTAATCATGTCAGTTTGGGGTCACTTTTTACACATTTATTGTTTTGTATCGCACATTTTTAAGCAGTATCTGCTTCACTAATCATGTACCTACATTGATGTTTATTTGGACCCACTGTAATTAACTTTTTTGCACCATTTACTTGTTCAATGTTTTAAGTTCCCTTTGTCACAATTACATTTTCGTCATTTAGCAGACGCTCTTCATTTAGTTATACGTTAGGTTTTCACTCCTCCTATCCTCTCTAAAACCAAGGATTATATTCTGACCCTCCCAATTCTGTTCTCTAAAGAGTAAAGAAGTCTTGGCTTTGTTGCATTTGGCCCACCAGCCACATCACCATGTTCACCTGTCTGTGACCCAACTGACTGTCAGGCTCTAAGGTATCATGCACCATCCTCTCCTGCCTGCCTACCTAGCTGTTTTTCTAAAAACAACGTCGATGGGGAAAATGCTATCACTTTGTTTAGTATATTTTTGTTTTTCTTAATTGTCATTTTGTACAACCTGAGTACTGATGCAGAGTGAAATTAATAAAGATATGTTCCAAATTGAACATGTGAAGAATGGACCTTTTTCCACACAATTCTCAGATGTGAGCTTCCCACAACGTAATTATTTTTTTTAAGTAGGCAGTGTCTCGAAAGATGAGTCTCCTGGACTTTATCATTCTCCAGGATTGGTGATCGGGGGGGACTGGGGAAATACTAACTGCATTACGCCAAGCAGCCACAAGATGACAATATACGCTCCCTATTTATTTTCCTTGCCACACCAATACCCGACAATTTGACGCAAATGTATTGTAGTGGGATGATCAATGCACCTTAGCCTAATATAAAGTTGTATATTCCAATGTTGGCGCCCTGGCATTATTTGTCAGGTATCATCAATTTGTGAATTAAACTGATGCTAATATAGCGAACTACAAGTCCCACAACAGTTTGTCGGTTCAGTCCAATTTTTGCAATTTCCTAATACGACAATTTAGAAATGTAACTTTTTTTAAAATATATTTAGTCCATTAAAAATTCCGAGCTATTGCATGTCTACTATTTTGTTTGAATTATTGAATACTCACTGCTTCCCCCCCCCTCCCCTCACACAAATGTTATTTATGAATTCCAATCGCTCACGGGCGTGTGAACGTTGTTTTTTTTGTTTAATGGACGACTGGGTGAATTGATTGTAGGCGATGGTATTTTACAAAGAGCGATAGTATCTTAGATATTTGTCACGCTGATCATATTACATTTTATGTTCCAGATATTGTAATCAACGGATGGTCTGGTACATGGTATGCTTTTAATAGGTCAATACATCAGAGACCCATAGCCGAACACTAGCGCCGCTGACTAGTCGGGACCTACACAGGCTCCAAATTGGTTTATCCTTCACCAGCAGTATTTAACCCGTGTGTGCAAGGCCTGAGGTCCCGTTGTGTTCTTGGTTAAGGTAAGAACGACATTTAAATCAAGTAGCTGTTACAAAGAAAGGTTATTGATATCAGCTTCATTAATCAGAAAAATAGCTCACTGCATCATATTCTGCATGGCCGTGTTTTGCTAGCACGCGTCCTAGACACAGCACAGAGGTCCTAGGGTGTAGCAATACATACATGCAATAGCTCGCCAGCCTCGATAGCAAGGGGATTGAATCAGATGGTGGGGAGGGAGTCATATTTTAATTGTTTATTTATTGCAAGCCAACAAGCTATGTTGATTTCATGTGTATGTGTGTTTGTCTGCAAATCTGCGTAATCAGTTAAATGGACGTACGCTGAGGTAACGTTAGCTTGCTAGCCATAGAAATTACGATTTGCGCTTGCGTTAACTAACCGGTTAGCGGCATAGCATCAGATTGTCACAGGGCGGCTTGTTTTGGATCTAACGTTAAATCAACTACTAGCTACCAGTGTTAGATAGCTATTCCGCTAACGTTAGCCATATTGAATTAGCTATGATAATGCTTAATATCATGTGAACGGGTTTAGACCGACCTTCAAAACTACGATATAATAATTGTGAATGAATAGCTACTATTGCTCACTTGAAATGTTTGTAATGGACAGCAGGGTAGCCAGTTAATGCTAATTTATCTACTAGCTATCCCTATTTAGCCGTCATTCTGGCTTTCCAAATGCCCCCCTCAAAATGGTAGCTACCTAACTTGCTAGCTATTTCTCAATCTGTTCCATTGCAAATGTCATTGAGGTGAAGAGCATGCCAATTGATAGGTCATGACAAGCTTGATAACATACGCACTATACACAAACGTACACATGGATTTTGTGTTGTAGATATGTGGTAGTAAAGTAGTGGCCTGAGGGTACACACCTAATGTACACTCTTAATGTGTTGTGAAATGTAATGTAACTGCCTTGATTTTGCTGGACCCCAGGAAAAGTAGCTACTGGTTTGGCAGCAGCTAATGTGGATCCATAATAAATACAAAAATACTTTGCAAGATTGGACCTCAGTATGACCCCCTTTCAAATGCACATATCCACCATTAAAGGGATACTTAATGGATTTAGGTTATGAGGCCCTTTATCTTCTTCCCCAGAGTCAGATGAACTCGTGGATACCATTTTTATGTTTGTGTCCAGTATGAAGGAAGTTGGAGTAAGTTTCGCGAGCCAATGCTAACTAGCGTTAGCGCAATGACTGGAAGTCGATGGGTATCTGCTAGCGCAATGACTGGACGTCCATGGGTACCTACTAGCATGCTAGCAGATACTATAGACTTCCAGTCATTGAGCTCGCCAGCTTATAGTCCTAAAAACTGGAATGATTTACCTCTGGTTCGTTCAGCCATTCCAATGGATAAAATGAATGGGGAAAGAATAGGGTTTTCGAATAAACGCCAAAAAGAAGGTCTGTGGTTAACACAGGCTTATGAGATCTTATACGTTTTGTTCTATGAGATATGTCAGTTAACATGATCTTTATGAATTATGAAGCCTTTATGTGCATTATGTTGTTTTATTACATAAATGCACAAACAGTGACATTAACTGCTGAGGATTATATCATAGAACTAAACGTATAAGATCTCCTAAGCCTGTTTACCACAGACCTTATTTTCGGCATTTATCCAAAAACCCTATAAAAACTCTATTAATTTTCCCCATGGACTTTGTTCAATGAACAATGGCGGCGTTAGTGCCTACAAAAAGACGCCATTACTATTGCTCTCTATTGCCATAGACTTACAGTCATTGCGCTAATGCTTGTTAGCAATTCCGCTAGCCCTAGTTAGCAACTTCCTTCAAACTGCACGCGGAGACATAAAAATGGCATCCACACGTTTATCTGACTCTGGGGAAATAGATTAATGTCCTCATTGTCAAGATCCCAAAGTATCCCTTTAAGGTTACTGGTTGAGATATTCGTTTTTGGTTAAATGTTCTGGTTGTTGGACATGTGATCAGTGCTATCCGGAATCTATGGGATGTCCATAACCTTAACCCTTGCCCTAACCTTAACCCTTTTAAATTTCAGCTTCAATGTGGTAGGGACGTCCCAAGGATTCCGGATAGCACCGACCATTCAAGAAACTCAGAGGGGCCTCATCAGGCAGGTCAGCCCCGAACAGCAGGCCCCTTGAGGCTTCATGCTGTCCCCAGGCACCTGTCACCATTCTTTCTGCACTCACAGAGTTAGTGTGTGTCTGAATATGTTAGTGAGCATGTTACCTGTAGGTTTGGTCAGTGGTTGAGCATCTCAAAATCAGTCTCCATCTTTTAGGTCTGGAGACTTTTGACATATAGGCCTAATTTGTCTAATCAGTCAGAACATACAGAGAAAGTGATGCGTCACCAAAGTGAATATGGCAAACTGTACAGAATATGATGAAAATGGGATTATTGCAAATGTCCTAAAGCATTAAACAGCTTTCCCATTTGAGAGGTACCACCACTGTTTCAAACACCTGCTACCGTTTTGGAGCTTAATGAAGGTGACCCTTGTACTGCCTTTTCCTGTTGAGAAAACAAAAGTGGTAACAGGGCTCCTGTTGTGTGTCCGATTTTCCCCTTCAGGTGAACTGACTACAGTGATGACCATGTCCCAGTGAGACTGGGCAGGGCAACCTGGCCCAGAGGAGGACTGGAGGTGCCAGAATAGCTCTGCCGCTCACAATCAGACGGACGAACAGACAGAGGGACACCCCCCTTACCCTCCACCTCACCCACCTCCCCTGCTCCTCGCAACCATGCCATGGTCACACTGATCGTCGAGCGTCTGCAGAAACATAGTCTGAACGGCAACACTCACCAAACGGCCCTCAACGTGGTAAGGTTTCTTCACTTATGTGTCAGCCTATGACTGCTTGTCTTGACTGTAATATAGTCCTCGGGTTAATTACCATTTATTTCTCTTGCTGTCAATTGAGCCTTTCTGATCGTTTTTTTCTGTGCTGTGAGCGTACAGGTCTCCTCTAAATCAACATGTCTTCCAGTCTCTGCTGGACCCCAACAACCTAGGAATTTGCTGGCCTACAGATGGATTGATGCCTGGTGAGTATGTACAAGTATAGCCACTTAGCCCGTGATTCAGCAATGTCTTGCATTAGGCTTTGTAACTTTGGTTCTGCGCTGTGCCATGTTGACACGGGCACAGGGTAATGGGGGTGAATTCCAAATGACAGAAGGGAATTGGTTGTTAAAGGGAGTATATGAAACATTTTAATAGAGCAAACAACTGTTACAAAACAACTCAACAACCACCCAGTAGCCTATTAACAACCAATAGTAATCTATTTTCACCTCATTTAAAAAACAAGACTACTTTTTATGTTCATTTGCAGAGACATTTTGAAAAACAGTTGGTTTCTGTCAATTGCTCTGTGACATCACTGGGGGAACCACTCGCTA